AAGGAAATGGCAAACCACTCTAGTATCTTTGCCAAGAAAACATCAAATGGAGTCACAGAGTCACTACTGAAAATGACTCAACAACAAGAAAGTGGGAAAGGTAGATAGGAGACAGATTGTGAAGGACCTTGAGCGGACCGCTGACTGAGGAGTTTGGAGCCAACGGGATGTAATGGAAAAATCATGGATTTAGAATTAAGAGAAATATCAGCTCTGCATTTATTTACTACCTGTCTGACTCTGGGCAAGTCACTTTCTCTCTGGGTTTCAGTTTCCTCATCTGTAAAATGGGGATAAAAATTTTTATACTCCTTAGGTCAAGTAAGTGATTAGTAAGATTCCTTCCAGCTGAGAACCTTATCTTCTAGTCTTTCTCTTTCATCCCATTCCCTCATTCCCCCTAAGCCTGAGCTATTATAGTTAAGAAGTCTATTCTCCCCTCTAGGCATTTGAAGAAAGTGCTCACAGGAAATGGATAGGCTGAAGGAATGACCCTCTCCCCAACCCCCACCTTCCCAGTGATAGTGATCTTAAAAGCAAGAGGGGGAGAAAGGAGGCATTCGAAAGCAAAGAAGCAAACAACTCAGAGAAGTAAAACAGAAGAAAGGATGAGAAAGCAATCTACCAGTGGACATTTAAATTGGTGAGATCATAGATCCAAACAACATTATGTTATTTATTATTAATTTAAAAAAAACCTTTACATTCGTAAGGCACTTTAGTCTACAGAGAACTCTCAGATCCATTATCTCAATGAAATCTCATAACAACTGAGGAGGGCAAGACAAAAGTTTTTCTGCCTTCATTTTGCTGATGATACAGGAGAGGTACAAATGTTCATATCAATTCAACTTAACTCTAATGTATTAAGTACCAACTATCTGTCAGGTACTGTGTGAGTCGTCAGAGATCTATTAACACAAAATGAAGCAAAGATACCATTAATAATTTGCCCACAGAACAGGTAAGCAACTGAGGCCAACCTCAAACCCAGGTCTCCTCCTGCTACAAAACATCCTGCCTCACTTAGGATGCTCTTGTAGAACAGTGCATAAAAGAAAACAGTACCAGAGAAAGCAGGAACCGATGATGGATTTCTCTGCATTGGATTATTCTCTGATGCATTTCATGTTTGTGTTTTTTATCCCCCACACCAAACCATCAGCTTCTCAAGGGCAGGACACCATTAAATATCTCCTGCATCTCCTATGATACCTAGCATTAATATAGACACTGTATATTATGTGTATGTATTGACAGGATATTATGGCAAAAAGGGCACTGGCCAGGACGCCTGCTGACAGACCAGGTTGTCACCGAAGTGACCTTGGGGCGAGTTACTGTATTTCACCGCATAATTGTTACCAGTTTTATGGCAAATTTTTTTGCAAAAACTGGGGTGCGACCATTATATGAAGCTTCAAAAAGAGTGTCGGTTTTACTTTAAAAATCATTTATTACTAACTGGCATGGCTGGCAGATGAACTGTACTGGTTTAGCTAGCACAGGAAGACACCACATCTTGTAACTTAAGGTAGCAGGCACCGCCCTGCTCCCCTTGTACCTAGTGTCTACAACTCTTCACTGAGTTGAGTGACAACACAGCATTCTAAACAAATCCCACAAGTCAGCTTTCAGAAATACACCGACAATGCCCTGAGCTGAGAATTCTAGACTCAGAGCTCACAATGCCATAGAGATAAAGAGAGACAAGTGCATATCCATATGCCACTGATAAATACATTGCTGCTCTGTTTACCTTTTAAGGGCGAGTGACAAACAGAATCATACTATAAACCAATTTTTAGACAAAAACAAAAACAGCAACAAAAAAACAGGGTGCAACGATCATGTGGTGAAATGGGATTCTTTGTCTCCCTTGATTTCAGTTTCCTCTTGAGAACATGATGAAAAAGATGGCCTTAATGATCTATGCCTCCTGGTATGGTGGAAAGAGTAGGGACTCGGGTCAAAAGCCCTGGGTTCAAATCATTCTTGTGACAACTTCCCTGAGCCTCAGTTTCTTCAATGGTAAAATGAGGAATCACATGGACCACATGGTCTAAGAGGCCCTTTTCAGCTCCAGATTTAGGTCCCTTTAATCCTTCTAGTTCAGTTCAATGCAACAAATATTTATCAAGCACCTACTATTTGCAAGGCACAGTGAACAAAAATTAAATAGCCTCTGACCTCAGAATGAATAAACACCAATTTATTAATTTTAATTAATTTAATTAATAAACTTATCATGTACCAAGCACCCAGCTAAGCCCTGGAGATATTACAAAGGCAAAAACAGTCCTTGCCCTTCCTGTTCTAACAAGGGCTACAATTATGTACATTCAAGATAAACACAAAGTAAAGTGGCAGAAATTTATTTGGGAAGGCATTAGCAGTTGGGGGGGGGAGAAAGCCCCTTGAAGAAGGTAAGATTGAGCTGAGTCTACAAAGAAGTCAGGGAAGCCAGAAGGCAGAGGTGTGGAGGGAGGGTAATTCTAGACAAGGGGGACAGTTAAGAGGTGGAGCGTTTTGTGAAACAAAAACAGGAAGGAGGCCAATGTTACTGTATCAAAGGGTGCATGAGGCCTAAGAAGGTGTAAGAAAATTGTAAAGACAGGAAAGAACCAGGCCTGGAGTGTGAAGAGACTTGAACCAGGTTTATCAGACAAAAGGCCACTGAAATAGTCCAAGCAGGGTAGAGGCAGTCAGAGGAGAGAAGGGGACATATTGGAGAGATGTTCCAAAGGTAAAATCAACAGGCTTTGGCAATAGATTGGTTATAGAGGGTAAGAAACAATGAGAATTCAAGTGTGACTCCCAGGTTGTGAGTCTTGGCAGCTGAGAGTACAGTGGTACCATCAACAGTAAGAGGGAAGTCTGGAAGATGAAAGAGTTTGGCATAGTGAGTCTAGTTGGGGACATGTTGAGTTTAAGATGTCTATGAGACCTCCAGTACAAGATATCCGAAAGGAATCTGGAGATGCAAAACTGGAGGTCAGCAGAGATGTTAAGGCTGGATAAGTGTGTATCAAAACCATCAGCAGAGAGATGATAATTGAATCTATGGGAGCCGATGAGTGAAGGGGCCAAGAAGGAGATTAAATATGGTCTAGGAAATTTTTAAGAGGAAGAAAATCCCAACTACTAGGCAAATCATGGAAGATTTCCAAGAAAGATGTGGTGGCATATGAGTAGATCCTTAAAGGAGAATGATTCTGAAAGGCAGGGTTGAGGAGGATGTATACTCCAAGGGTGAGAGGCAGCTTGTACGAATGCATAAAGGCAGAGAAATAAATGTGGAGCTGGGAGAAGTGGTCCAATTTGGCTAGCAAAACAGAGTGAGTGAAGGGAACATGAAATATGGCAAAATTAACTGAAAACAGATTAGAGAGAGCCACACTTGCAAAAAACTCTCAGAACATAACTTTGGCCATGTTACTTCCCTACTCAAATACTCCCCTTTAGGGTTCCCTAAATACAACCCCCAAGCCTAGCATAACATGGCTCCAACCTAATTTTCCAACCTTATTTCATGGACTACTCCATTAGAGGATGAGCCTCCTGAGGGTAGGGACTGTCTTTTGCCTTTTTTTTTTTTTGCATTCCCAGCATTTAGCACAGTGCCTAGAACAGAGTAGCCTAATACAATGTTTATTTATTGATTGATTACTCCTCTTGCCGGGACTCTGTGTTCCCATCAAGACAGGTTAATGGCCTTTCACCTAACTGGATGTTCTAGCTTTCACCTCCATGAATTCCTAGAAGTAGCATTCGCCCACATCTCCCATAATGCTCGTCTTTCATGACTTAGTTTAAAAAACCATCTTTCTTCTCTTCTCCCAAAGGCTAGAATTATTTCCTTGTATTTACAAATTAGTTTGAATTTACTTAGATCGTAGATCAAGAACAAAAGACTTCAGAGACCACTTAGTCCAAAGATTCTAAGCTTTTTTTTAGGACCATGCTTCCCTTCTGCAATCTGATGAAGTCAGACGGACCCCTTTTCCAAATAAAAAGAAGTCAGTTATAGTGAACACAATGGCCAAAATATCGAAAGAAACAAAATTCAAGTCTACAGACTCCTGGTGAAGAGCCCTAACCTAGTCTAACCTCATTTTACAAATGAGGAAACACAGACCTAGAGATATCAAGAGAGTTAGTTGCCCAAGAGTTCTGTATGTGTTACAGCCCCCAAATAGAAGGTAATACGATCCTTGTGAATAGAGAGGGCTTTGTCTTTGTATCCCTATCCATCAACAAAAAACCAAGTAGATATTTATTAAGCTCCTATGTGCCAAGCACTTAAGTGCATTAATTACTACAGATAATATAATGTGGTGGATGCCTAAACCGAGGTTTTTAAAAGTAAAACGACTAGTAGGGTTCCCAAAGCTATCACTAACATCACCAGGTCTACACTTCTCCTAAGCTGTCACATGTACCCACAACATCTCCTGTATATACCAAGCCAGCTCAAGCCAAGTGAGGGAGAAACATTTAAGTGAGCAGACAGCCCGGACACCTAGCTCAGGCCACACCCTGAGCCTGCCAGTTTTGCCCTAGCCCCTAGGAACCTCCCACAGAAGAAAGGGCTTACTCCCATGCTCTTTGCCTGGTAACTCTCTCCTTCTTGGACCCCCGACCGTCCCCTTCGCCCCTTGGGCTCAGTACAAGGGGGAGGGAATGTCGGTTATTCTTGAATCTCAAAGTGCGAAGGGATCTCAGAGACCATCCAGGTAGTCTCCCCTTGAATACCTCCATGACCAAAGACTCACTACCACTTGGGTCAGCACATCGCACTCTTGGGCAATTCTGTTAGGGTTTCCCCCCCTTAAACAGAGCCCAAATCTGCTACTCATTACTGCTAGTGGGGGGGCAAAGCAGGAAGAATTTAAACCCCTTAGTCGTGAGAGGGTTTTCTCCTGGGGGACACCTGCGGCTGGCCCCGGTCCGGTCCTGGTCCCCGTCTCGTCTCCATCGGTCCCCATCTCCATCCTTACCCAACCAGCTCCAAGAGCAAACTTTTCAGGCTGACACCCCGCGAACTCTTAGCGGAAAGCAAGGCGAAGATCTGAGGGAACTTGATGACCATGCACACCACTAGCGTGCTCCAGTTGCAGAATTGCAAGAGCAGCCCCGACCCCATGGCTGCTCTGGGCCCGCGGCTCCACTCCCACGCCGCTCGCTTCACTTAGGCTGCAGCTCAAGCAAGGCAGCTTCGTCCCCCTGGGCTCCTTCCGCCTTCCTCCGAGCCCTCTGTGGTCACGCTAGACTCCAGCCCCCGCCCCTATGACTCCTCCCATCCGGAACCGCCCTAAACAAGTCTGGGGCAGGTCGGGCACAGCGCCGACCTAGCTAGCTGGAGGGGATGCAGCTAAGAGGGGTCGGCTCTAAGCCTGGTCCTCTCAGCTCCTCCTTCCCCCCGTTTCCCTGCTCTCCTCTCTGAGAGAGTTTCACGAGATGGAGCTGGAAGAGATCTTCGAGATCATCCAATATAGCCCCCCGCCCCCCACTTATTTTGTGAGTGGGGAAACTGAGGCCTACAGAGGGGAAAAGATTTGCCGAAGGTCATACTTCATAAAAAGGCTGTGCTGAGTTGGGAAGAGCGTAGACTTAGAGCTGAAAGGAATCTTAGAGGCCAGTCAATCCAGCGCCCTCTGGGGAAACTGAAGTCCAAAGTGGTTAAATGCCTTGCTTGGGTTGCACAGTCAAGTATTTGAGACGGAATTTGAACTCAGGTCTTCCTGACTCCAGTCCATTTCCACAATACCATGCTGCTTTAAGGGAGGACAGTTGTCTGCCTATACCTTCTGCTTCCGCTGTCCAACCTGACTCCCCAGCTAGTCCTATGAGGGGTGGAGGGAGAGTCCAGGAGAAAATAAAAGTTCTCCGGGGAAGGAGAAACATAACAAAGAAGAGGGAGGAAAAGGTCCCGTCCCTCCCCCTCCCCCTCTCCCGAATATGGTTTCTTCTTTCACTTCCTGTCCAGGCAAAAAATACCCAGAGCTGAGGAAGTATTTTGCCATCCAGGGCTGTTTCATCCTTTGTGCTTGCATCTCTGGTACCTAGCACATGGCATGCATTTAATAAATACTTGTTGATTGATTCAATTAAACTTCTATAACGTTTATAAATATTAACTATTATTTCCAGTCCTTTGAGGTTCACAAAGTACTTTTCTTTGTCAGAACCCCTGAGATAGCTGGTTCAAGTACTGTTTTATTGTCCCTATTTTATCGATTAGAACACTGAGACTCAGAAAGATGGTGGTGGAAAGAACATTAGATTTGGGGGGAAAGGAGAGAAGAGAATCTGTGACAGGGTCTTGGGGGACACCACAGTTAGGGCACAAGCGGATGCTGACCTAGCGAAGGAGACCGAGGGGCAATGGTCAGGTGGGTAGGAAGACAACCGGGAGAGGACACTATCACAACAACCCGGAGAGGGGAGAGAGAGAAAACAGGGATCCAGGAGGGGTAGTGGGAAATGCTCTTGCAGCCCACTTGAAGAGACCATTTCCTTTTAGGTTTCCTAGTATCTACCTTAATCTGTATTATTTGCCCAATTTTGGCCTTATTGCTTGCTAGCAAATATGTTTGCTAGCTATCTGTAATTGTCTTTTGGATAATAACTATTTGGTGGGAGGGAGCCAAGCTGGCCAAGAATAGGCTAACCATTACTCTCTCAGTGTAGGGTGGAACTGGTTGCCACCAAGAGTGACCAGGGAAAGCAGCTTTTGCTCTGAACCCCCAAAAGAACTTCATACTACTAGACTCCAAACATCAAGTGGGTAGGAGAGTAATATCATTCTAGCCCTGAACCTCACTTGGACTTAGGAGAGTAGAGGAGCCATTCTCAATCATGGCTACCCTCTTACTCTACACAGTGGAGACCAATGGGGCTTTCCATACCGTCCTCTTGTCTGTTTAAATATATCCTGGCAACAGGCCACTTGCATACCAAGGGCCTAGGGTATAAACCAAGGGTGGGGAACCTGAAGCCTCGAGGCCACATGTGGCCCTCTAGGTCCTCAAGCCCCCTTTAGACTGATTCCAAACTTCACAGAATTTTTGAAATTTGTGAATTCAAATTTCACAGGTTTCCCCACAACTGGAAACTCTTAAGCCTGCCAATCTACATTCCATTTCCATTTACTTTGTAAACACTTTATGTTTATTTATCTGTATATATCTCTGTGTGTCTATGCATGTGTACATATGTATATGTGTATGTATACATATTGTGTTGTTGTTAAGTTGTTTCATTCATGTCCAACTCTTCATGACCCCAGTTGGGGTTTTCTTGGCAAAGATGCTGGAGTGGTTTGCCATTTCCTTCTCCAGCTCATTTTCCATATGAGGAAAGTGAGGCAAACAGAGTTAAATGACTTGCCCATGGTCACACAGCTAGTAAGGGTCTGAGGTCAGATTTGAACTCAGGAGAATGAATTTTCTTGTCTGCAGGCCAGGTTCTCTATTCCCTTTACCACCTACTTCGTGCATATACATATACCTGTACACATACACATACACAATATGTGTACACATACATACATTGATACATACAAACACAAAAATACATATATGCACATATGCATACACAAGTGTGTGTGGTTGTTCTCTTTTGTTCTTGAAGAGGACCAAAATGACATTACAGTCTTAGAGTCAAGTTACAATGTGTTGAATGTGGCTGATCAGAACAATATGAGCTCAGAAGGTTCCACCACAGGTTGGGCACAAATAGTCCATATGAGCATTTGGAGTGGAGGTGTCTCTGAATTTGCACATCTCTCATTTCTCTTGAGCTACTGCAATTCTTCTTTGGTCACAGAGCACAGCACCTTCTTTGATGAGAGCACACCATGCCAGTCAGTCCTTTACCAGTGTCTCCCATATCACACAATCAATTCCAAAGGTCTTCAGAGATACTTGAGCATGTCTTTGTATCTATTCTTCTGACCTCCACGTGACTGCTTGCCTTGTGTGAGTTTTCCGTAAAACAGTCTTTTAGGCAAATGAATGTTTGGCATTTGAACAACATGGGCAGCCCATCTATATGTGTGTGTGTGTGTATACACAACATACACAGGATTTATATTGTTATGTATTTATTATTATATGTATGTATATATGTGCACATGTATAAATACGTGAATATTGTCTTCCCCCAATAGAATGTGAACTCTTTGAGGGTAGGGACCATTTCTTCATTGTTCTTCATATATATAAAATACATAATTTACATATATGTGTGTAACACACACATTGCATCCCCCCAATAGAATGTGAACTCCTTGAGGGCGGGGACTATTTCTTCATTGTTTTTATATCCCAACTGTCTAGCAAAGTCCCTTGCATATAATAGATGTTTAATAAATATTTGTTGAATTGAATTGAGATTACTTCTTCTCTGGGTCTCAGTGAAGGTTTGCATTATCTTGAGAATCTCTTGGGGCAGCTAGATGGTGCAGTAGCTCTGGAGTCAGGAGGACCTGAGTTCAAATCCAGCCTCAGACAGATAACACTTACTAGCTAGGTGACTCTGGGCAAGTCACTTAACCCCACTGCCTAGCAAAAATAAAATAAAATAAAAATCTCTTCCAGCTCTAAAAATCATGACTTGCCCAAGGGGATACAGCTAGGAAATAACAAGGCTGAGATTCAATCCTAGGTTTTATGGAAATTTTTTCCATGTTACTATTCCAATCTTTAAAAACAATGGTTCATTACAAAATGAAAAACATTCCATTATCACAAAATAAGATCATCTCCATAGGCCTTCTTTCTTATTCTTCTATCACCTCTTTTTTTTTAGCTCAGCCACCTGGAATATAGTAACTGGTTTTTACTTTTAGGTTTATAAAGATATTATCTCATTTTACCTTCGCAACAACCCTGGGAGGTTGATGCTGTTATCCCCATTTTACAGATGAAGAAACTGAGGCAGACAGAAGTTAAGTGTCTTGCCCAGGGTCACACAGCTAAGAAGTGTCTGAGGCCAGCCCATAGTAGGGCAGTAGTGGTCACCAGCAAGGGGGAGCGCTCCTTGGTACCCCTTCTCTGTTCCTCACTTGAAGTCCCAGTGAAAAAGTTACATACAGTTCACAATTCCAGAATAAGGATAAAAGCTGTTTCTCCCTTTTTACAGCAACAGAGTGGGACAGTGTGTGAGCTTAGCATGGGCTGAGGAGACAGTGTTTGGCTCTCAGCTCATCAGAGTGGTGGACCCCAGTAGAAGCAGTGTGGGGCCCAGAGGCAAGGACAAGTAAAATGGTCCCCAGAGGCATGAGTATGGGTCTCAGAAGTGGCAGAGTGGAATTGACACAGATGGGTCCATTGTAATCCTCTACTGCTGGCAATCTAGAACTGATAAAGTACTTCCATGTTGCTGCCAGTAGGGTACCCAGTGGTCAATAGACAATTTCTTGCCATGGAGGGCTTAGAGGACTAAAGGATGGAAATTTTGGGAGATGCCCTGTTTTCTGGTCAGAAGGGAAAGATGAAATTGTCTACCTAGCCCAAATGGAACTTGCCGGCAGGCTTTCAGCAAAAACCTCTAATGGGGCAAAGATTCAGGATCTCCTTCCTCCTTCCTTACCAGCTGACTTCCAGGTAGAGTAAATCCTGACTAATGAGACAGGGATGCTGAATTGGGATGGTACAGGATAAGTCTGGGCATTGATCTTGGCAGTGAGATGAAATGCATGCATTAACTACCTCACTACTGTAAAGTTAAAAATTGATTTTAATTCTATTTTGCTAAAACTTAACCTAGATTTAATATTCCCTCAACGTTCCTTTCCCTAGTAGACTTCCACCCACCACTCAAGTCCTGGAGAAACTTGCCTAAAGGTCAAGTTTTTGTCCTGTAATTACCTCCACCTTTGTAACCTCACCCATCACCCTCTTTCCAAAACAACTTCATTAACTTAAAAGGTCAAATCTCATCAATTCAAACTATTGTAGAAATTCTAGTGGCCTGGGAACCTTTGTCTTGTGACTCCAATCATGAATCCAAAATCCAGAATCCAGTGTTGGCTGAGGTTAAGAGGGTTTCAGAAGGAGAGGTCCAAATGATGTAATCTTAATTCTGATTATATCATCGATAGCCAATCAAAAGAAAACTCCTATGTTCCTATGTCATTTTGCTAATTGTTGTAAAAGACCCTATCAGCTCTCACTCAAAGTCTTTAGTCATTGAGAGATTCCATTGACCCAATTTATTGGTTACTGTTAGCCTAACTAATAAATAGATCTTGCT